ATGGAAACCAAATGTGGACAAATACAGCTAGGCCTTATAAAAACTGGATTCAGCATAGTCTTAGATGTTTGAGATACTTTTGACAATAAAAGTAAAGGGCATTTCTTACACATATATTCTCCCAACATGTGTATGTATATGTTTGGCTATACCACAACAGTTGCTCCAGGTAACTGCATAAGAATGCAGGAATGGTGTACCTTGTCTCCTCAAAACATAGATGAAACATTTCAGGTCCTCCTTCCTGCATCAGCTACTGCTAGAATGTCTGCTCCTAGCACCCCACCTCCTTCCTGCTTTTTTCTGACTTCAGGTCAGGGAAAGCCAACTGCTGAGTTTTTTTTTTTTTTAAATAAAGGAATGTATTGAATTACATAAATAAAAGGTAGGATTAAATTTGGCTCAGGAATTGGCTGACTCTATCTATACACTCAAATGATAGCATCTGGTCACAGCTTCATTCTGTTGACTCCACTTTCCTCTGTGTTTAAGTTTTATTCATATAAATGGTGGTGCCCAGGAGTTCCAGTCTAACTTCACATTTTAGGCTAGCTTTATTTTCTTTTTCTTATAGAAAATAAAGATAGCTTTATTTTCTATATATATATATATATATATATATATATATATATATATAAGTTGTTGATGGACATTTATTTATTTATTTATTTGTATGTGGTGCTGAGAATCGAACCCAGTGCCCCATGCATGCTAGGCAAGCACGCCACCACTGAGCCACAACCCCAGCCCAGCTTTATTTTTTTAACATTGCCAGAAATCTCCCACGGAATGAAACTCCTTGAAACACTTTGGGTCATTTGGCCATTGATAATATATCCCTTTGCCAGAGTAGCTGTGATGTACTAATTAGCCAATTCTGGGTGTTGTTCCCAGTCCTGAAGCTAGGAACAGACAGGGCACCCTAACCTAGGGTGGGAAAGGAGTTAGTTCCCAAAATTGAAGTAGGGTACAACTGGTGGAATAAGGGAAGTAGATCTTGGATTTTTCAAAGGTATTGCTCTCTAAGAATCCCTTCCCTGCCTTCCCAGCACCAATAGCATCCTCACCCTCTTGTATGGCTGCTGGAAATATAACAAAGCTGCCCAAAAACAAGGGAAGGAAGGACAATGGTTTAGTAGAATCTGATCAAGGAGGAAAAAAAAAAAACTGCCTACCCCCACTGGTACTGGGGATTAAATCCGGGCTTTGTGCATACTAGGCAGCTGCTCTACCACAGAGCTACAATTGTCACCTTTTAAGTTTTTATTTTGAGTCAGGGTCTTTATAAATTGCCCAGGTTGGCCTTGAATTTGTGATCCTCCTGCCTCAACCTCCCAATTCAGTGGAATTACAGGTGTGTACTACCACACCCAACTAAAAAGAACACTCTTACAGAACCTAAGAAAGAATATAAAAGTATAAGTTACCTATGATATGCCAAATACACTTCTTCACAGTACACAGTGAATTTTGGAATAACACCTAAGGTCAAATTGTGTCATCACTTTATAGTCTTTATCAAGTTTTTCCTGTTTTTTGTTTCAGTGCTTCAGCCTTATCTCTTGAAAAGCTATTAACACCCAGGACTTCTTTTCTCCCTTTAAAAGCAGTTGAATCACACATTATTGGTGTTTTCAAGGGATTTTACTTTTTCTTACTAATTGGTGTGAAGTCATTACAGACAGATGGAGATCCAGGATTCAATTGATTGCACAATATTCAACTTCCTTTATTATTACTAACTGGTTTGCAGAAGAGCCAGAAATAGAACAAAACTATTTAGACTAATAATTCATGCATTATTCAATAAATATTTATATTGGGCCTCCTAATTACCCAGATCCAGGGAAAAGATATGGAGTCCTGCCTTACAAGAGTCTACAATCTTTATGAATCCACTTTTCTTTTATCCCAGTTCCAATTTCTTTCATGATCTTAAAATGGGGATAGAGCTGACCTTGTCATCCAGACTCAAGTAGACCTCATGGTCAAGCCTTCTTCTTTTCTTACTTTCTTCTTTTTTTTTTACATTTTTTTTTCAAAATTTATCTTTTCCTTTCATTCTTCTTTTATCACTGACTCCAAAGTATTAGCAGACAATTCCTTAGTAGCAAATTTTTATAAAATATTCCATAGTTTCTAATGTATTTTCTTGGCATAATCACAGTTGAGTTTCTATTATTCGCAAGTAAGTAATTCTCAGCATGCAATATATCCTCAGTTCTTGGTATTGGTGGCAGGTATTTAAAGAATATTTGTTGAATTAAAGCTATGAATTTTCTGAGTTAAAGTTATCTAAGTAACATGCCTGTAATGCCAGCAGCTCAGGAGACTGAGGCAGGAGGATCTCTAGTTCAAAGCCAACCTCAGCAAAAGTGAGGTGCTAAGCAACTCAGTGAGATCCTGTCTCTAAATAAAAAGTACAAAATAGGGCTGGGGTCAAGTGCCCCTCAGTTCAATCCTTGGTATGTAAAAAAAAAAAAAAATCATACTCTTTAGCTTTGCTACACATCATTATTATTTTTGTTAATGTTAATATTTTAAAATACATTATTATTCCTCAATATGCAATGTTTGATTTTCTCTTTGACCAAAGAGTTTGGTAAACAGATGTTTTAAAAAAAAATTAAGTAGTTGGGAATATTTGCACATGGGTTGTTTTATTTTGTTTATTTCTAAATTTAAATTCTGCAGATCATAAATTGTGGATATATTACTTCTGTGTTTTGGAATTTTTCTTATTTCTTCTTGGAATTTTTTTCTTTAGATATATTCATATATTCAGTCAGATTCTAGTCAGGAGTTGGTAGGGAGACTGCTTTGGAAAACTTTCTGTATAGCTGTTCAAATTATTATATGCCTGCCTTTTTGGTACTTGAACTCTGAATGGAAACCTTATTTCCCTGTTTTAACTCTTTAGAAGGGATATCTCTCTGTTGTCCTATATACTATAGCTCCTTCAAATATACAATGAGGTATGTACAGCAGTAGTATGTACCTATTATCATGCATTGCTATTAGGATTAAATAAGTTAAAACAGTGTTAAATAAAACCTTCTGTGCTGACCATGACAAGCCTTTGAATAACAACTCCAGATATGTTATTATTGTTTTTTCCTGTAACTTGCAGTTTTGTTTTAGTAGCATTCCACTTTGATAGAGATAGGATCATTTTCAATTACCTTAACTTCACTCTAACCAAGACAAACAGGGTAAGAGATGAAGAACAAGAAACAAAAGCCTTCCGGATATCAGAGAGGAAAGAAAAGAAATCACGGAGGGTATAACTGAGATGTAATCACAGGGGGTATAACTTTATGCAAGACCTCCTTCAAAGAAAAAAAAAAGAGTTAATTTTGTTTCATACATGTTTTACAGGATTCTCTGAGAGAATACACAAGAGTTTGTGAGTAATGTTCCCAGAGCTGAATCCTAATAATGAGAGACACTAATTTTCTATTTTTCTGAAACGTTTATGAGCACTTCTTCCTCTCCACTATTAAACCCTCAGGGTAAGTTTAGGTGTTTCATTTCTGGAGACTACTGTTATGCACAGGTGTTTAACAAAGAACTCTGAAACACAATATAAATTTTGTGGGGTTTAAGAGCCCCAGTTTTAGAGTCCAGCAAACTTTGGCCAAATTTCAATTCAGTCACTCAGTAATTAAGTAAACTGCCTTAACATCCATGACTGGGGGTTTTCATATCTAAAATACATCTACTTTAAGGTGCTGTTAAGTGGATTCAGTGAAATGCAAAATACGTAAAATTTAATTCAAAATACTGGGAGACCCTCATTGTTATACAAAATACATGTATGAAGATGTGAAAAAAAAAAAAAAAGAATTGCGTTCCCCTACATTAGGTAGAGAGAAGTGATGGGAGGGAAGGGGAGGGGATGGGGAGATAGGAAGGATAGTAGAATGAAATAGACATTATTATTACTGTGTGTATATAGGTGACTGCATGACCAGTATACTGCAACCTGTATACTCAGAAAAATGAGAAATTATATCCTATCTGATTCAAATGTATTGATATGTCAAGATCATTGTACTGTCATGTGTAACTAAGTAAAACAAATTTAAAAAAATTAAAAAAAATACACTTTCCCTTAACTATCTCAAATTATCCAAACAAGGACCACAATAACTGACTAAAAATAACTAGCAAGTCAATGGAGCTTTAAAACACACAAAGAACTTTTCCATTACCATCTCACATGCAATCATAAAACAAATTGTTATTCTTTTTGTATATAAATAATGAAGATAAAGTTGACCAGAATTGCCAAGAATCCTAGCAGATAAGTGACTTCACACTGGAAAACATGCTTCTACACTCAAGTAGAGGAAAATCAGAACAGTTTGTAAGGTTGCTAAATTCAACCATCACCCTCTCCTCTTTACTTTCAAAAGTTGTCCTTTGAATTCCCTAATCTGAAGACAAGAAGACCGTTTCACTAGTGATCAAGTCACTGTGCCTGTGACTATTTAACGTTTTACTTCCCAGCGCTTTCAACTTCAACACTTAAGTCAGGATAGGAGGAGGCTGGAGGGCGAGTCATCCTTGCTTTTGCACACCTTCGGCTTGGGCACATCCAGGACTTTTGGTCCTGTAGGTAGGTGTAAGGCAGCCGTCTGATCCTACGTTTTTCACAACAGAGGAGAATTTGGACCAGGTTTATCCCTCGGCTCATTGTTCTCTCGGCCTTGCGATCGTTGTTGCTCCCAACAGATTAACTGCCTTGCCAAATTCTTTCGCAATTAATTGGCTACCGTAGGCGGTGACCCATCTAAGCCCACAGTCAACCTCAGACACTCTAGGAACTCGGACAAGGCTCGGGCCAGCCCATACCCACGCGAAATCATTCCATTTCCCGGTGACCAATCAGCGCTCCACACGCTGCCGCGCCAGCCAATCCTAGCGAGTACACACCGTTCCTACCAAGAAGTCCCACTAGTCCCCAGAGCACCTAGGTCCGAGCAGGGGTGGAGTTGGCGGGGAGCGTCCCGCCTTGCCCTGAAGCGCTCGATCCTTCCCATTGGCTGCGACTGGCAGGGACTGGATTCCCATTGGCTGCTGCCAGCCGCGCCTTGCCTGGGAAACTGAACAGATCTGAACTCCTCTGTGTTACTGGAGGCGGTGAGTCCGGCGTTTACCTGGAGCACCGGAGCTGCACCCTAGAACCTCTGGTGTTGGCGGGGAGAGGTACGGATCCGCGTCGGGAATGGAGCGGGCGCGGGGAGAAAGGTGACTGGAGCATCCGGGGCGTCCTGCCTAGTGCGTCTTCCCGGAGCTGTTCTAGAGGTGGGGTGAGGGAGGCCGCGGTGGAGAGCCGAGATGGCGGAGCCCGCTGTGCCGGGGGGGGGGGGGGGGGGGGGGATGTGGCCCTCACAGGTGAGAGGGAAAACAGGACCGTGGAGAGGAAGGGGAGACCGCCGCCAGTTTAAGGAATTTTGACGCCGGCCAGGCCTCAGTTTCTTCATCTGTTAAATGGGGGAGGGGCGGCAGCGATCACGCTTCTCAGGCTGTGGTGAAGGTTTTATTGAAGGCATGCTCTGTGAAGGGCACAGCGCTTCCTGGTTCTTGGTGGATGCACCGGTGGCGCAGGGTCCGTCCCCTCCCACCAAGCTCAAGGAGATGATTTCCCCGGTGCTTCCTATTTTCCAGGTCCGATGCTGTAGGTATCAACTCATATAATTCCTGAAAAAATAACTGTTCCTATTTTTATTTTCTTAAATTTGCACTCGAGAAAGATTACCCGAGATTTTGGGGTATGGGAGCCACGACAAAATTTGACGAAATCATTGCGGAGTAAGGTTTTTCATGTTTAATCTCTTCCAGCTGGTGGTCAGTTTGCATCATTTTTTCAAGAATTCAGACACCCTGTGTTGGAATTTGGACTCCTTCACTTATTTAGCTGTACGATCTTAGACAAGTGACTTAACCTTCCTGTTGCTGTTTTCCCATCCTGTAAAATAGGAGTAATGTCAAGATGGACCCTTATGGTTGTTTGTGAGGATTAAATGAAATACAGTGTAAAACAACCAGAAAAATTGAACAGTAAGTGATCAGTAAATGTTAGCAATTACTATTTTAAATAAAGGATTAGAACATTAAGGATTTACACTAACCTGGACTCAAAAATTAAAGCTGTTATAGCATGAGAATTTAAATGGCAAGTGTTGTAAAAGCTAATAAATTAAGGTGAGCACTTGAAACAAAGGATCATAGTCACGCTGCAAAAGTACGCTTCCAGGTTGCATTCCTTTATTTAGTGAATTCCTGCAAAGACCAGTTTAAAAAGTGAGAAACTACAGGACTGAGTTTGAAAAGCCAAATTACCAGATCAAGATTGATTGGAAAGGAAGCATATGCTGAAACTTATATGTTAGAAAATATAACTCAGGTCACAAGGCCTTAGTTTTCCCTTGGTTTGCACAACTTGTTGGGGACAGTCTATGGTATGTTAAATTGAATTTATTCACATTCATAAAATCCATGTTAATCAAGTAATGGAAGGTTCAATAATTCTGATTCTTGAGCTTCTTTAACAAATGTATTCTAACCTAGTCATACTGCATAAGTACAAATGGATCTTTATGGCATTTACTTTTTATTTGAGGGAAAAGTGTTTTATTGTTTCATATTCAGAAGGAAACCTAGGACCATTTTACTGTGATATATATATTGGATAATAACTGGAGTTGGATTGGTCAAGACTGGTGCTAATATGGATGGCCTCAAGAACCTTTTTAACTCGAGAAGTTTGCTGACTCTATGATGGCATCTTCTGTTATCACTAATGGCTATTCAAACACATGGACATAGAAAACAAAAACAGAAAGGTTAATTTAAGGACAGGATGTGGAGATGGAAGTTAGTCAACACTTGCCAAGAGTATATAATCTTATAAGGAGTTGTTAGATTCTAATAAGGTTAAGTGTTGCCTATTTTGTTTGACATGTGTTACAGTTGGAGAATTTCCTGGTATAAAGTCAGGAAATGGAATAAAACATTGAAATAGTAAGAGGGAATTCAAAGTGCTCTATTGTATCAGGAGAGAACCAAAGCCTTGATAACACCAGTGCCATTCACTCTCCTTGGTGTTCATCATTTTGAGAGATACTCAGTCATGTCTGTTCACACAGAGAGAGAAATTTAGACGGTTACCTTTATTTTGTTTTAAACTTATTCTTGATGCAAGAATTAACTGCCTGCTTAAATACTTTGGACTAAAAAGAAAGCTTCCTGATTTTATAATTACTTTTTTTCTCTTCCTACCTCCCATTTCACCAGCCTTTTAAGAAACTATAAGAAGTTTTTAATGCTTTAGTTGTTATTATTGCTGCTAATGTTTATTTAAAGGGTGGAATGAGTCAACATTGAGAGCAAATATACTAGATTCTTAGTAAATACTTAATAGTAGACCTCCGAGAATTGTTATCTTCATTTTGGTCATGAGAATTTGTTATTCAGAAGCTCAATGATGATTGGTGTATATGGGCACACATTAGATATCTTGAGGTCTTTCATACATGAGATTACCAGCTCATTCTCTGTATATTTTCCCTTTTAAACTTCACTGGATTCCTAACTGAATGCTAGACATAGGAGTATAACAAGCTACATTTCCTGCCCCCAAATGTTTTACAATTAAATGGGAAAAGATAGTGTATAATTATAATACAGAGTTTCTGTGAGAAAACTTTGGAGGGGAAGCTAAGTCTTTAGGGAAGTTGGGGAATAATTACTAAGACAAGCGCCTTAAAGTTTCAGATTGTGTGTGTGTGTGTGTGTGTATGTGTGTGTGTGAGAGAGAGAGAGAGAGAGAGAGAGAGAGATATGCTGGGGATTGAACCCAGGGCCTATGTGCATGCAAGACAAGCATGCAAGACAAGCACTCTACCAACTGAGCTGTATATCCTGCTCCCAGATTCTCATTTTTCTTGTTAGCTTTTATTGCTTGCTTTTTCTGTGCTGGATCTGCACAGATATATTTGCTTATGATAATTTCTATATCACCTCTGATTTCTATCAAGGAGTTTTGAAAAAATACTCTTATCTGCCAACCACAGGAACATAGCAGTGACCTTTGGGTTTAAAGAATGTTGTTTAATCATAATGATCACAGTAATAGATGAATTTCTTTTATAAGTTCTAAGTGCTCTAAGAACTTGTGCTTGTTTGACATAGCCCTCAATACAGTCATTGTATTGTCAAGTTGGCAGCCACTTGAGTGGAGATGGGATATATTCCTGACTGGTAGACAATTAAAATGAGCTCATCCACTTTCTATGTATGATAGGATATGTACATATTATACATTTTACATCACTTAAATGGATCTTAAATTCTATATTCTTAAATTTTCTACACGTACTTTCTCATGTTTCTATATAATTTTTAAATTTACCAGTTTTAATGCTTTGTACGCTTTACTTTGCGCTATTTAAATATTGGTTACAACTTTGATTTATTCCTGTCACCTTTGGTTTTTAGATGAGTGGTTCTCAACCCTGGCTGGGTGACAGAATAATCAGTGAAACTTTTAAAAGACCTAGATTTCTGTGTCCTAGCCCAGAATAGATCCACTGAATCAGACTATTTGGCAGTGAGCCCTGAAATCTAATATGTAAAACCAGCAACAACTACTACAGAATATATAACAAAGGTGGATCTGATGGTCGTAGCATCTGTAGTTGAAAATTGCAGCCTTATTCCCTAGAGGTTTGAGGCTTGAGATTTTTATTTAGATTTTTTCATGTTGTTTATCCATCTTAGTAATTTCATGATTCTGTAATGAGTAGCTTTCCTTCAAACTTTCTGTCCTTCAGTCTTTTACTGGAATGGGAAGAACAGAGATAAAATAGGGTAAAATAGGAATAATACTAAGAAATCAAAGCTCTGGCAACAAAAGAAGACAAAGTAATACCAAATCTAGTTTTGAAGGAAAAACAATAATATCACTAAGGGTCTGTTAGTAGTGTGCCACATAGTATGTAGGTGTATAGGAGATAGTGATGAATAAGACAGACAAGGATCCCTCTTTCATGAGTTGGGTATGAAGTGGTAAAAGAGATGAAAAATATCCCTATAAATAAACAAATTCATTTAAGATAGTGATAGGCACTATGAAGAAAATCAAATATGTAATAGTAACTTGCAAAAGGCTATATTAAGGACAGGAGGTTTAAACTTAAGTTGTTGTTAACAGTCAGGTTAAGATTTAGGATCTAGCAGTCTAGGCAGAGAAATAACAAGTATAGAGACTCAAAGCTGGTGATAAGCTTGTCCAGTTTGAAGGACGCAAAGAAAATCCCAGGGTATGGTGATGTGGATAGGAATCTATTACTATTAAGGATGATTTCAAGCTTTTTGACTTAAGAACCTGAGCTCAATTACCATTTTAATAGTAAATTATTAACATGAGGAATACTGACACCAATTTAGATGCTCCTTAGGATTGAAAGTCCAAGTAGGCCTCCAGATCTGGAACTTGCCAGAGAGATGAGGATTAAAGGTTAGTATTTGGGTGTAAGCAGCTCATATATAAGAGAGATAATGCCCCCTTTTGGCTCCCTCCATTTCCCCTTTTATTTTTTTATATGGGCAGTTTTAATAACTGTCAGAAAAGTGTGATTTTCATTCCTGGCTATGGGTTATTCACCTTAAGAGCTTTTTCAAAAAACCCATGCCCTGGTTCTACTCTCAGAGATTCTGATTAGCTTATCTGTGGTGGGGGCGAGGTATAGATATCTTTTATAGCTCTTCAAGGAGAATCTATTGTGGAGCCAGATTTACGACTTCCTGACATCAAACTACAGGATTTACTGATGCTCATCTTGGTCTCTGTGACAGAGAGAAAAATATGGAAGGCCTGCCTGATGTTGCTTCTTTTTCAAGTCGACTCAAAAACACTCTTATCCAGTACCATAATATTGAAGATGACAAATGGCGAGTTGCAAAAAAAACGGTAAATTAATCCAGTTACTTCTTATGTTTGGGGTATATCCAATGAATTGGTTGATGACTTTCAAAGTGATATGAAAAATACGAATAAACGATCATATTTGGAATGGATGTGCAAGACAGATAATTATTTAAATAGGGTTTGTGGATCATTTTACAAAGAAAGAAACATCAGTAGTAATCTTACCCTGCTTTTATTTTAGATATTAAACATGAGAGCAGGGTTATGGCAACCAGAGCCTTAAGAATAGCTTTCTGAATCAACATAGGGTATTATTATTAGTAATTTAAGGGAGTATAGTAATTGATAGTTTGAAATAGTTTCAGATATGGCAACAAGCCTTCAAGGGTGGTCAGTTAGTATTCATCTTTACCAGTAACTTGCCCAAAATGTGACATGGCTAAGTGTACTCAGAACCAAGCCTGGAAGTCAAGACTCTTATAGACCTGGTTATTCTGTGCTTTAGTTGTTCTAATGTTCAAAATTACTTGGGAATTGATTGGGGGAAAATGTAATAATTAATTCAAAATAATACAATCATAATAAATGTGAATTGTTTAATTTTTAAAAAGTTGTGAACAATTTAGAATAAAATATTTAATGTTCTTAATGTCATAGTATCAGTAATAGGTACATAGTAAATAGATAATAGTAAATAGATAAGATAGAAATAAGGCAAATAAAAATGGCCACTAGAATAGGCCCATCACTAAGTCTTCTTGTGTTTGGGTATTATTAAGCCACTAAAAATATTTTTGAAGGTCTGTAATTTTAAGTACAGTGTGATACAGAAGAAATTCAAGTATGGATCATTTTGTGATATAGATAACTTTTATGCATCTCTAAAAATGTACTTAAAAGTTTTTTTTTTTAATGTAAAGTCAAGTGTTAAGGACTTATAAAATTTCATTCCAGCGTTCCACCTATGTAATTTAGGTAATTATCACAGTAATGTTTTTTATCTTTCTAGAAAGATGTAACAGTTTGGAGAAAACCTTCAGAAGAATTTAATGGGTATCTGTAAGTAAATTTTGTAGTTTTGTGTAACTCTTAAGATATTACTAAACTTCTATGTATACACTGTCACTAAATGATTATTGCTAATAAAATTTGGCTTTTGCTTTAAAAAATGTAAACTTTCTGGAAAGTAAATTGGTTGCTTATGATTGAGAACCTCAAAAATGTCTATATCCTTTGTGGACTGAGTTGGTGGTGAGGAGGTCATAAATAATATCAGATGGCTGATAAAATCTTAATTTCTTAGCCTAGGGTACATGACTCAGTGCTATAACATGCTGTATTCTAAGAATTTATCTTGAAGAAAGCATCAGCAAGATAATAGTGATATAAATAGTTGCTATTTTATCATGACATTATTTAGATTATTAAAAATGAAACAACCTGAAAAACCAATGGTAGGAGTGATTAAATTATGAAACCTCTGTGATAAAATATAATTTGGCCTTTAAAATTGTGTTTTTAAATATTATTTAATAGCATAAGAAAATGCTTATAATACAAAGTGAATAAAGCAGAATACTAAATTGTAGGTAGCATAATTATGAGTATTTTAAATATGTTTTTATTATTAAAATGTTTTCCTTGTGACCAGATGTTCACTTCTAGATAGTAGCATTATGAAGTTTTATTTCTCGTTTTTGGTCTTTGTTTATAGATGAATTATGCCTATCACCAAGAAAAATATATTGTTTTTCACATCCAGTGGAGACAGCTGCTTTGTGTAATCAAAGTAGAATGTTCACATCCTTAGGATTCACAACCCTTTAATAAAAATGAAATTGCTGGCTCCACTAAGTATATACAGAATGTGCTAAAGTATAATACCATAACTAATGTTTCCAGAAAGTCGAATTGTACAATATTTATAACAAGGACCGGAAAAGTAGAGTTTGAGCATTATAAACAAGTATGCAAAAGTTGGAAAGTATAAAAAGTGCCAAGGGAACACTATGCTTGGAAATTTGGAAAGACCTCATGGAGGAGCTAATATTTGAGTTGAGACTTAAAGGAACAGTAGATGTTTCTTTAAGGAATGAAGAACTGATTGAAATTCTAGTCAGAGGAAATTGCACCTATTACTTAAACACAGATGAGAGACCCTTTTAAAGAATATTATTTAGGAATGTGTTTGTATAGCCAGAATATAAAGCATGGGTGTGAGGAGATCTTGTGTCTAGAAAGGCTTTGGATTCTAAAGTAAGGAAATCAGTGTCACTTGCTCTCTGCACACTCCTCTATTTGTTCCTTAGGTGCTCAAAGGATTTTGAAATAATGCTGTGAACATGAAGAGTTCTAAGAGGTTTTACCTGGGATCCATGGCTAGAAGTTCCTCTCAGATTGTATACAAGATTTCCTAACAATAGATGTTTTCCTAGGAAAAGTTATGACTTTTTTCAGATTCTTAAAAGAATATATGATCAGAAGAGGTAGAAACTGATAAAGTTTGAGTAGACACAGAATATCCAAACTAAGAGCAAGTGACTGTGAAAGAGATTTAATGATGGTAGTGGTGGGCCTAGTGGTGATGGTGATGATAACTAACATGTTGAGAGCAAGATAATGTACTAAGTACTTTATATGTAGGAAACCATTTTAATAAAATCAAAGTGATTGATTCATTCTAGCTGTGGAATAGATTTTAAAGAAAAGGAGAGTCAGAGTTGAATTCCAGATTTCTAATCTGTGTGACTAGATTATTTTGTGTTTATTTCCCATCCCAGCCTACCCCAAGTTAGAGAATATAAGAGGGAGGAGAAAATTTAGAATGAGGGAGATAAGTTTAGCTTGAGACATTTATAAAATGATTAAACAGCTTCAGATGCTTAAAAATAAGTTACTGATAGAGTTGAAACCAAACTATCCCATATTTCATCTCCCAAAGGTAACTACTCTCCTGAAGCTGTGTGCATAATTCCTGTTTCAAACTTTGACCACACATTCATATGTCCGTAAAAAATAAAAACATGTTATCTGATATTTTCAAGTTGCTCCTTAAAGTAGCAGTTTAAGAGTTCTCACCTTCCTCCTTTCAACACTGTCACATTTTTAATCTGCTAATCTGAGGGGTATAAATGAGGATATACTTGGTTACTAGTGAAGTTGGCCATCTTTTGTATATTTATTGATATTTCAAGCCAATCTTAATATACCTTTTGCCCATCTTTGGTTTGTCTTTTTCTCACTGGATTATAGGAATCATTCCTATGTCCCCTATAATAATTGTGTGTCTTTTTATATGTGTTGCAGGTATCTTCTGAAAGTGTATGAGTAGTTTAAAAATTATTTTTTTATGTGTGGTGTGCACATTTAAAATTGTAACTGATCTTTTGTATTATTTGTACTTTTGTGAATCTTATATATTCAAGAAATCCCCCTGTATTCTGAAGTCACAAAGATCGTCTTGTATATTTTTTCTCTAAGCTTAACATTTTACATGGAAGTATTTAATCTATCTAGAATTAATCATTTTGTATGGTGTGAAGTGTGAATCCTGATTTATTTTCTTCATAAAAGTTTTTGTTAAATCTAAATATTGCTTATGGAAGAGTACCTTTTCTCCCAGTGATGTGTACTGTTACCTTTAAAGTGTGTCAAGTTCCATGTATTCATGAGTCAGTTCTTCAGTGTTCACTGGCCTATTTTTCTTTACCTTTTCATTAAAAAGTTTGTAAAAATTAGGGTAAAAATATGCACAGACTGATATGTTTAATGATAACTGAGGAAAGAGTAATATACAAATTAAATGGAAGTATTATAGTGTTCTGTGGACTGGTTTTGACTATATTATAACATGAAAGGACTAATTAGATTTGAGGACAAAGGGTACTTTTAATAAAATAATTGATAGAACTTAATTTACCAGAAAAGTCCTAGGTATTTACTCCTTTCTAAAAAACTTGCATTAATTTTTACTTCTACTTTAAGTGTTAGTTCTGAACTGTGAGGGCATCTTGAAATTTTTCATTCTAATTGTATTTAATTTTAATTTTCTATCTCCAGCTATAAAGCTCAAGGTGTTATAGATGACATTGTCAATAGTGTAATAGACCATATACGCCCAGGGCCCTGTCGCTTGGATTGGGACCGTTTAATGACTTCATTGGATATTTTGGAGCACTTTGAAGAGGTATCTGTTCAGAATCATTACTTTCAGATTGTGTGTGTGTGTGTGTGTGTGAGAGAGAGAGAGAGGAAAAAAAGGGGAGAGAGAAAGTGTGTACTAGCGTGTACATGCTTGGGAGCATGAGCATTTGTACACAATTATATTCATATTCATTTTATCCATTGCTTTAAGAATAGATGTGTCTAATAGGATACTCTTAAAAACATTTGAGTTTCCTCATATTAATTAAGGGGTATTAGTCTAAGTTTGTTTTCTACAATAGCTCCACCCTTATTGCTTAAGAAAATCTTTTTCATGAATTGTAAAACTTTAGTTAAGGTTCAAAAATCTGAAATTCTGAAAACACCACAATCATATTTAAGTTTCTAGGTAAATGTATATTGTTTTTTCATTAATCCTAAGTCAAAATCAAAGACCAAAGTAAAAATGCTACCTTAAGCATTAGAGAACTGTGTATCCCAAACAACTTGTTCTTTTCTGCCTTTATTAATTCATTTCTTAATATATTTATGTTTAAATTGAAAAATGTAATATTGTAGTTGAAGTATTTGTAAGTTTTTATCTTCAGCAGAATAAAACAGCCTATATCCCTAATTAGGAATTTAATTCCCTGATTAATGGAATTAATTATTAATCTCTAATTAAATAGAGATTTAGGTAGTAAATTGTTTATATATTTTAATTATATATCTTATTTCTATCTGTATAATAGTAGTGAGTAAGTCTATGTGTATATTCTTGTAGTAGTAATATCTGTCTTATCTTTCTTCTTTTTCAGAATTGCTGTGTGATGCGTTACACTACTGCTGGTCAGCTTTGGAATATAATTTCCCCAAGAGAGTTTGTTGATTTCTCTTACACTGTGGGCTATAAAGAAGGACTTTTATCCTGTGGTAATTATCTCAAAATTCTGTACTTTCTTTAGTTTGGTTTATACATTTGAGTTTTCTAGACTGGAATTTTGTTTCTTTATGGAGATTTAATTTCAGCCCTCATAATTAATATTAACATTTATAATTTTTTTTTCAAATTCTAAACCTTAGGGAGTATAATAACATAAGAAGGTTTTTAAAAATCTTTCTCATAATGTTTTGTTCCCAGTTATCTGGTATCCTTTAGTTAACAAGTTTCAGAAATGAATCCACATGAGACTGCCTCTTAGAAAGGAATTCAGTAAATGGATTTCCTTCCAAACCTGTTTCAGATACCATCTTCTTGGCATGTGTACACACACACACACACACATACACAAAATAGACTTGATATATGTTAGAATATTTTTCTTTCTTTGAACTGTATTGTAGTTTTCTTTTTATGATTTAAAATACTGATATTGGAAGGCTCCTATTTTCTAAATACATATATATTTTTTTAAATATATGTATTTTTTTCTAAAGACGTTTATTTTTTATGTATAGTATCCACTTGAATTTACAGTTGTAGGTAATCATCTACTTGTTTATTCTTAACTAGTCAGTATCAAAGTTAGATATAGTAGTGCCTGTGGGAAATAGTTGTGGTACCATAGATTAGATTATTAATGTCTTGAAGCTTGACTGTCACAGTCAAGATTTGAAGTTTCTAAGAAGTTTCCAGGATGACATGATGTCATCTGTTTTGAAGGAATTAGAACATTCCCTATTACCTATCTACCCAACCCCTTGTGAGAATTCTCCTTAGTAATTATCTTTTTCATTCTGTCATGGTCACTCTTGGGGCTTTAATTTCCACCTATATGGATGAGAAGAAAAATATTTAAACAAATTTTGTAATATTTTTAAATGAGAGTTTAAACACATTCAGTCATTGCTATTCACAGTTTTATTTTAAAATTGCCTTGTAGGAATAAGTCTTGACTGGAGTGAAAAGAGACCTGAATTTGTTCGTGGATATAATCATCCCTGTGGTTGGTTTTGTGTTCCACTCAAAGACAATCCAAACCAAAGTCTTTTGACAGGCTATATTCAGACAGATCTATGTGGAATGATTCCTCAGTCTGCGGTGGATACTGCCATGGCAAGCACTTTAACCAACTTCTACAGTGATTTACGGAAAGCCTTACAAAAGGCATAATATGTTCAAACTTGCAGTACTGTGATCCCTGACTCTGCTCTTTCCCTCCTGCTACAAGTCCTCTAAAGATCATTTATTTTTCTCTTCTGCAGAACCTGTAGAAACATTTGGGATGCTTTTTGTAGCGTAATGTTTTATTTTATTCCTAAATTAAATTTCTGTATAAAAGAGATTATTGTTATTATTACATAATATTAATAATGTAATAATTGGTAATAATTAATAATCATTGCATATTATTATTATTACATTTTCGTTTGTCCTTTGTTTGGTATGGTAGTGTGTCTAGTAATGGAGAGTGTGACAGAAATGCACAAAGAAGTAAGTACAGTTCTTTGGCCTAGACTGTTCACATAAATTGAATAGTGCCTCAGTGTGAATATTTTGATTGCTTAGAAATTAGATGAAGCACAGACTTCATGTTTTCATACTATTTAAGAGCTTTATGAACATTTGTAGAATTTTAATTTTTTTGAAGGTAAATGTTAGTCTTTTCCTTTTGGTGTATTCTATTAGTTTGCCAATGTCTTGTACAAAAGAAAAAAAAAGCCTTTCTTTATATTTTATAAGATAGACTTCATTGTCAATTGAACTTGCACTACTTTAAGTATTAAAGAGACCAAAAATGAGAAAAGAATAGTAACTGCAGATATAATTCAAATACAATTTAGTTTTGATATCTAGTTAACATTCTTTTGTAATATCTTTAAAACACAATTGTGTCATTGTGTGCATTTGTTTTGGGAGTCTGAGAGCATTTATGCATGAATGTGATGATGCAAAATAACTGCCAAATATGTGTTGGGTATACTACGCTGATTGAGCAATAGTCTGGGTTGTGTGAAATGGCTAGTGGTATCTAGTAGTCATCAACAGAGTCATCTCTAGGAAATCAGGATCAGTGAATGTACATGTTTCAATTTTAGAAGTATTACTCAACTCAAAGCACTATAAACTGTAACATAAACATTCACAACTCTGATCACTTTTGTCTAAAACTATAACAAATATATTCATAGACAGACATTTTTCATCCTTTTATATTGATTAGAATGAACTATTATAGGTCCTTTGTTTCTATGGCTGTCTTAAGTCATCATTCTTTAATGATTTTTTTTTATTTCAAATGATTCTTTTGCTGTTGAACTATCCACCTAGTTTACTTTTAAATTGAGAACCTGAGCCCACTCTGTGTGTTTTTGTAAATCTTGTATGTATATATAGGTTTGTGTATGTGTACATGTATTGAAATCTCAATGTTCAATGTCAATTCTTAATATGCTACTATTACTATTTCTATTATTTCATTTCTTTTTCCTTTTTTTGGTAGGGGGTGGGGGGACATAATATGGGATAAAGTGAGCCCTGGAAATAATTACATGCAGGCAGGCCGCAGAAAAGCACAAAAGTATATAGTGGTTCAGGTGCATGAAGCCTTGATCTTTGTTTAACTTTAGAAATTTATAAGCAGCTACTAGGTGATATTTTAGATTATTTTAGATCTGCTGAGCTCCAGCTGCGTACTGCTTATTAAAAAACAACTTATTGAGATAAAGTTTCATAATATACAGTTTATCCATGTTAAGTCTATAATTGAATAATTTTTAAAAATATATTTATAGAGTTATGCAGCTAAAACTAGATTCCAGTTTTAGAATATTTCCATCACTCCAAAAAAATCCTTTTTGTCAGTTTGCAGACTCATATCTAACCTAAGTTTACTGCAGTTGCCAGTATAAAGAAGATGATGGAAATGATTATAATAGGTCTTTTTTGGTCTTGTTTTTAAGAGTGCAGGTGTGTGTGATTTAAACTCAGGAACCTTGTGATAATATAGTAGACATTTTATCTCTAATGTCATCATAATTTAATGTGGGATTGATATTAACATATAATTGAGTATGCTGTTTCTATAAGCAGTGCTGTAGGATAGAAAAATAATCTAAGCCATGTATGTAATTTTAAAATTTTCTAGCAGCCACATTAAAAAATAAAAATAAGCAGATGAAAATAATTTTAGTAATATATTTTATTTAACTCAATATATCCAAAATATTGTTATTTCAACATGTAGTCAATGTAAAAAAATTATTGAGATAGTTTATATTCTTCTGTACTAATTACTTGAAATCTAGTAGTGTGTTTTGCTGATTGGGACTAGCCATATTTTAAGTGCTGCTTAGCCACATGTCAGTGATTACTATAATATTTGTTATTCAGCATAGTTCTATACTGTATTTATTCATTTGTTTTGCTACAAGGTGAAGTAGATAATTTCATGAAATTACTTTCCCAAGTAGAAGTCTTCTGTAGTCTCTATAGTCTTCAATACTTGCTAAATAGGATATCTGAGTTTTGTAAATAAATCAATAATTATCAGTAAAATAAAATTATTGAGTGACCCCATGCTTTGGGCCTCTAGTAAGGTGCCACATTATTGGAGGCATGTGGTACAGCAAACTTCTTACTTTATGTGGCTCAGTAGTAGAGCAGTTTTTGCCCACATCTGAGGTACTGGGTTCAATTCTCAGCACCACATAAAAACAAATAAATAAAATAAAGGTATTGTGTCCATCTACAACCTAAAAAAAAAAAAAAATAGTGAGCCAAAATATTTTTCTTTAAAGATAAATAACTTTTGATAAGGCAATTGAGGAAGTGAAAAAACATAATCTGCCTTGTTATATATGGTTGATTGTTTCCTGTACTTTATAGTTAGTATGTTCTAGAAACTTGTATATATAGAAAATAGTCAACATAGTACTGTTTTCAGCACATAGTGGCTATTTTTTAAGGAAATTAATTTCATACATAAGAAGTAATTTGTCATAAATGACACTTTTGCATGAAATACTGGTTTGTGTTGATAACTCTTAATTAATCCTGGATGTTTAAAACAATACTCAGCAAAAATAATTATAGGAATTTGATGTTCTGTGTCAATCTATAATTTAAACTGCCAGAGTAGGAGAGATTGTAAGTTAGGAATCTCTTCATCTCAATGTTCCTTGAGGTTGGATGTATTTGAAATTGATTTCCATATGTAAAATGGAGATTTTAATTTCTTTTTCCTCCTCTGCTCTTAACTGAAGGACATTTTATCAGTACTCAGGTTGAATTAAATTAACATATGAAGCTAAAAACTCTGTAACTGAGGTTAGCTCTGGAGAAGACAGGAAAGTCCTTAATTGTATATTGAGCTTTTAGTTCAGAAATTTGATGTAGATAGCAGTTTTACCTCTTTACTCAGCATACTACCATCCTTAGTATCAGATGTTAAATCCAGTTTCTTTTTATTAAGTGGATACTGTAGCTTTCTCAACTCAATATTTAAATTAACAGAGGAGCTAAGGGAAATTTGGACTTAATCAGATTTTCATTAGCACTTGTATTGAATAATTACTAGTCCATTGTATCTCCATGCCTTTCTCTTTTTCTTTTTTCCTTTTTTCAGTGTGAGCAATCAGATCAGGGCCTCATGCATGCTAGGCAAGTACTCTACTATTGAGCCACATTGCCAGTCCCCAGTTTATCTCACTGCATTTCTAGAAATAGAGCGTAATAGGATTGGAGCATAGAAGAAATATTAGATTCATTCAAAAGCACAGAAAGTTGGAATTATAATTTCTTCATTATTGTGTTGTTTTTCTAAGTGTTTTATGTATGTAGCTGAATATTAAAATTTATCTTTTACAATTCAAGAAAAGTTGTACTCTATATAGATATAAAGTTTATAATTATTTTGTGAAGCAGTTTATAAAATAATAGTAGCATTATTAGTATGAATAAAATGCATACTTATTTTTAAATTGCTATGAAATATATTAGAATAAAAACTTGTAGACATGTTTGTAATGGGTCATTGATCTTGTCTGTGTAAGTTTCTTTAACCTTAAATAATGACTAAATATTTAGTTTTATATATCCAGATTTAAAGTACATAATTTAACTTCATAAACAGTTACAAGTGAAATATGTAAACCTGGAAAATAAAGTTAACAACACATAGGATAATCTCCCACCAACATCATATATGTTAGCCACAATACTGCTGCTTCCATGGTGCTGAATCTTTGCTACTGTATTAGCTTTCCATTACTATTACAAAATACCAGATGAAATTAACTTGAGAAAAAGTTTACTTTGCCTCACAGTTCTGGAGCTTCCAGTCCAGAAGCAAGTGACCCCATGCTTTGGGCCTCTGATAGGGTGCCACATTATTATGGAGGCATGTGGTACAGCAAACTTTTTACTTTATGAGCCATGAAATGAAGAGAAAGAAAGAAATAAAGGTTCCCCAGTCCCTTGCGAGGGCGTGTTCCCAATGACCTGTGGACCTTCCATTGCCACCTCCGACTATTACTACCCTAGGACCAAGCCTTTAACACAAGGGCCTTTTGGGGGCATTCAGCATCCAAACTATAGTAGTTAATATATACTTAGATAAATGAATGTATTCTGTCTTCATTGCAATAACATATGGTCAGGGTTTATCATGCATGTGTTCAAATAATATAATAAGTTGATTAGGAACTATGGATAATTTCATTTACAATTGAAAAAAGCTGGAAATAATTATAAGGACACCCATGATTTATATTATAAAAAAGCAATTAGGGATGCTGTGGGCAGTGGGTAATGGGAAATATGATTATGAAGTGGCTTAAACAAATGGAAAGATATTTTCCTCATTTAATAATAAAAAAAATCCTGGTACTATCATCAGAATGTTTGTGTTCTCCCTGTAAATTCGTATAATGAAATCCTAACCCCCAAGGTGATGGCTTTAGGAGGTGGGCCTCTGGGAGGTAACTAGGTCACCCTCATGAATGTATTTAGTACCCCTATAAAAGGCCCAAATGAGATCCCTCATTCCTTCTGCCATGTGAGGACACGGTGATAGGGCACTCTGAGGAAGTTGGCCCTTACGAGGTCCCAAATCTCAAAGCACCTTGATCTTGAATGTCCTCCAAAAATGCCAGAGATAAATTTGTTTACCAATCACTTAGTTTATGGTATTTTGTTATAGCCCTTGGAATAGGAAGGGCATCTCTCAGCTTCATCTATCTTATCAGAAAAGTATAACCTTTTTTCTAAAAGCCTCCAGTAGCTTTTATTCCTGTTGGTCTGGATCACACAACTATGCATAACTGTAATGGTGACTGGGAACAAGCACAAGGGCTCCTAGCTTCTGGGAGAGGCAGCTGACCATAACTGGAGAGTCAACTATACCATCATCCACTGGATCAATTTTGGGAAGTATGTGTAAAGCTCCTATAGATGTTGTGTGGAAAATGATGGACCCTTAATGTGGAAATGAAAAAATACTCATTTGTTTTCTTCAAAAAACATTTTGAGCCCCTTCTAATGACAGATGCTACATGGCTATTTCTAATTGATGTAATGAGGTGATGGAATTTCCCCTTGTAGGTTTTTTGTTGATAATTGATGTCACATGGCATCCAACGTGAATGATCTGTGTTTGTATTGTTGCCCTGTTTCTTTTACTTTGGATCAAAGGGTTCATATGGAAGGCCTTCGTAGTCAAGCAAGGACAGAAAATGCTGAAAAATGAACTGCAAATATATCCCAGGAGATACCGAGGGTGAGTCCATGCTACTTGTGTTATCAGTTGTACACATGATTAGAGAAGTGCAGAATTCTGTGATAAAAATATGGAGGAAGCAGAGGGTTTATGTTCCAAAATAGGCTTTTATTTATTCATATTCTTTCCCAGAAGCTTTACCTTCCTACTTGTGTGGTTTTTTTTGTTGTTGTTTTTTTTTTTTAAGTCCAGGGCAGCTGACTTTTGATTAAAGAAAGGAAATAGTCTAGAGGTTGCACAAAACCAGATTGAAGTAAAAATAAGGCAGGTTTCATATATCAAAAATTGATTAATTGATGGGAGACCATTTCCCTCAGTTCCTGCAATTCAGAGGTCTTTGTTTAGAATAAAAGTGTCTTCTCAACAAAACCAAGATTTTGGACCTAATGGTGGTGAATATAGCAAAATGTAATTCTGAGTTTATTATTATTGAGAAAAGAAAAAGAATTGAGGCTAGATTATTATGCATCTGTCATAAGTGTGTGTATTGTAGAGATTATGCAAAAATGTGTATGAGGTCATGACTGATGTAAAAAGGTCTACAATATGATTACAAATTTGTAAGAAAAGTAAACTAATACTAGAGAAAAAGATGATGATTGTTTTTGGAAAACATGGTAATTTTCTACTCTTCTATATTTTCAAATTTTTATAATGAATTATCAGTTTTTATTTGAATCGCTTCCATTGTTTCTAGTAAACTGACTTCCCAATACTGAGAGAATTGGATGAATAAATAGTCTGTTTCTTCTCAGTCACTGTAAACTTATGAAGCCATTACCTTTCTGGATATGATATCTATTTAAATAAAATGAGCCGTTGTATTAAATAATTACTAGTGTCCCTTTTTGATAATTTTATGGTCTTACTGTAAAGAAAATAAATATTTGAACACTCAGTGTTTAAAGAAAAGAAGAAGAAGAAGAAGAAAGAAGAAGAAGAAGGAGAAGGAGAAGGAGAAGGAGAAAAAAAGGCTGAGCAAGAGAATTGCTAGTTTGAGGCCAGCCTCAGCAAGTTAGTAAGGTCCTAAGCAACTTACTTAGACCTTGTCTCAAAATAAAAAAAATAAAAGACTGGGAATGTAGCTCAGTGATAAAGTTTGTTAGCAAACTTCCTCTAAGTTCTATCCCCAGTACAAACAAACAAACAAAAAAACTCAAAAACACAAACATCAAACTTAATGTATGATTTTATCTGAGAGAATGGGAAGACACTCAAAGAATAATTCAGCTTTATATATCAGATATAAGGAAAATGTCCATGTGTCTCTCTTGAATCATGGTAACATTTCAAATCACAGAATGCAAAGTTTTGGTGGGCTCTTAGATGATTTATTACCATACTGTACATGCAAATTGCTTTACACATTTCCCAGTAGCAAGGTATAGGCTTTTGGCATGTTCTGACAATCTGAATAAACTTACACAAAGTAACATTGGCCGTCACTTAAGTCAGTTTCTAAAATTAGTCTAACATCCACTTTTGCTGCCATCACACATTCTTTCTTCAAGTTTCTGGAAAACACTCCAACTCTCTTGCCAAATGAGCATATTTAATCATTGAACTGGATTTTCCAACCTGAATCCAAGAAGATAGTGAGCTCTTGTGTTGTATACCCCAGTCTTTGGGCAAAGGAGAAAGAGCCAATCAATGACTGTTGTGTCCCATCTATACAAAGTAGGAGCTCTGTGGTCAATTACCACCATTGAAGAATATGGTAGCTCAACCAAAAGCAAATGGGCATGATTTTGATGAATTCTCTACAAACATTTTCTGTATTTACAGTTATGGCCAGGCTAGACTTAATATATGTACCTAAAAACATTGTAATATATCTTTGTATTAAGGAGTCAATAGCACCATTTGACAAGTTTTAAAAATGAAATGTTCACAGCTCCTTTTTTCAGTGCTTTTAAAATAGAAGTTGGGAAGGTAGCCTATAATCTTGCTGTGCACACTAAAACATTTCATACTTTGTCCTCCAAATCCTACAGGCTTTTACTGTTGGCTAATGCTTTGCAAGCTAAACCAGTGAAGTTGTTTCCTGTATGCACTATTTCATTAACTTAAGCCTCCATGTACTATGGAGTAGCTTATGGCCCTTTAGCCCAGAAAGCTTTTGACAACCCAGCAGTACAAACTTCACATCTAGGAAAGTTCAGAAAAGACACCCCAGATAATGTCACATAAGGCTGAAAACCCCTTTTGGGACATTTTTTTCTTAGTGCCTGCTAACTTAGGTTTTCTGTATGTTAACTTCTTAGTTTCTTTTTCCTTATTCAGATAATAGTTCATCTTTGTCCCTATGTAGTCATTCACTACTCACACATATTATCAGAGATAAGCAAAGTTGCAAGACAACCAAAAATATTTATACTGTGATCTGATTCTAATTGTATATGTTTTTTTAAAACAAGTTTCTTGAAGATGAAGGTAAAAATACTGCCTGCAGTAAGTAATATAAAAAGGAACTTGTGGAAGGTGGGGGTTGAACTGTCCAGATCAGATAACTTAAAGGGCTAAAATAATGATAACAGTAACCTTGATGTGGGCCTTTGTTAGCAAACTTCAGTAGGTGATTTTCTGGAGTAGCAAGAGTTTTTAGAACTCCAGTTCTGCAAAACTTAGGCAGATAATTGCTTTTATAGTTTCCTCTGCTTTATCAATGGAGACCTGGCCAATGCAGTTTATGCTTTCAGTGACTGAGTCTTTGCTTTAATCAATGACTTGTAAAAATGTCTTTGATATGTTGGATGATTTTCATTCTGCTGAGGGGCATACCAGATGAGCCAAGCATATATGGCAGATGTTCTGAAGAAAGGCTATACTTGTTTCTGACCAAAAACAAGAAAGGAGCAGGGAATCTAATTCAACTTTGCACCAAATCTGAGGCTTTACTGCAGATTTAGCAACACTGCCCTCTGGATTTTAGTCTTTCCTACCTAGTGTTATTTCTTCACCACTTTGTCTTGCCTTTCCCCTCTCTGCCTATGCTGTCAGGTCGATCTTCAGTCAGACATGCCCCCTTTTCTCCTGTCTGCGAAGATTCTTCTAGTCCTTCAAATCAGCCCATGTGCCCATGAAGCTTTCCTTGATCATTTGTAGCAAAAGAGAGCTTTTCCCTGTATCCTAGAGGGCTACAACCTGTCCAGATTTAGCACAGGCTTGCCTTTTCTTTCCAACTAAAAGCTCACTTCTGGAGGGTGGCACTGGGTTTAATTCATTTTTTTCTTCTCCACTGCATATAATAGTTTCTCAGTGAAAGTTTACTGGGGAAATGGGTACCTAGAATAGGCTATTTCTGAAAATCTTCAACATTAGCTGATCGTGTCCTTAAAACATGCTTCCATGTTGGCCTACTGTTCCCCTAATCTGTGCTGTTTGATTTTGAGGACAAAAACCAGCTGTTGACTTTGGTCTACTCATTTCCAAGATATTTAACTCCATCAACAACAGTCTTCAAACTCTAAGCAATTCAGAAAGTAGGAAGGTAAAAATGTAGACTTCTTTATTTACATTTTGTCATCTTTATCCTCTTCCATTCCAGTCCCATTCTAAACTGGAATAGCCAAATAGCCAAACAAACATTTCTCTCTTATACATACATCAACCATGGCCAACTGGTGGACGATTCATATCTTTTGTTCCTGTGTTCTATACTATTGATTCCTGAAGTCGCTTAAATAAAAGAGTATATTATTTAGAATCATAATATATATAATTTTAGGTATTCCTAATAATAGGCTGATAATGGGTTTTCTATTTAAATATCTAACTTAAATATCCTTTAGACTACAGATGTTGAAAGTCAAACTGAAACACAAGAGTCATGAATGCCTAAATGTCTCTCAATATCTAGGTTACCTGCTTCCCTTAAGGCAGATATTTTGGAATGAATAATTTCTCTGTGACAGAAATAGATGAGGAAAAGGGCCCTTCTTGGATTTCTAAATATGTAAGAAAAGTAAAGGAAAGCATTTACTCAAGACCTTCTCTTCAAAGAAATGAAATATAGAACACTCAGAAAAGCATGGGGATTTAAATGTTGCTTTCTTACATAAAAGATTTGGTCATTTGCCTATTTCCTGGTCTGTTGATGAACAAGTCTTTATCATAGAATATCACCTAATAGAGCATATTTTCTAAAATTATAAATGGAAGTTCAATTGATATAAATTGTTTTAGAATATTCTAAGAGATTCAGAATCAAAGGACTCTCATTTCTTAGCTCATTAAGTAATACCTTCAGATTGGCTTAAATGTACAAATGCTAGTATAAGTTACAGATGATTATGTATTAAGGTATTTATATGATTTTTAAATATAAGGATCAAGTTTCTAAAGCACACTCAAAGTACCAGAAATCTTAACTTCCACTCTCAGCGAACTCCATTCGTATAAATTTCTTTTTTGGGAAATGATGAAATTTTGAATTTTCAATTTTGTTGAGAAATTTCACTGTCTTATGTCTAGCAGTTGTTGTGAGACTGACTACAACATCAAACAAAACTCACCTAAGTTCTGACGAAGCAAATGAGAATCAGAACCTTAAGCTAAGGGGGATGAGGAACTACAGTACAAAAAACTGCATTCCTAGAGGCCATCAAAAAGCATGGGGTGTTGCTGTGAAAAACCAGGGCCATCAAATTTTTTTTAATCTTTTTTTTCCTGTAAAGGACCAAATAGCCAAACAAACATTTTAGGCTTTGTGGGTTGTACAGTCATTTTTTAAAATACTCAACTTTCCCCTGATTGTATGAAAATAGCCACAAACAATAGTTTGGATATGTTCCAATGAAAACAGCCTTTGAAAGATTTGCTCTGTGAACCACAGTGACTCCTGAAAACTCTTCTTTGGAGATTTCAATTTAATTCCTGGAAAAATTATGTGGAAGTTGATTCTGTAAAATGTATGTAAGTTTTTATATGTATATCTCAAATATGTAAGTTGTATTTCCATTAATAAAAGAGCTAAAAGAATGATTGGCATTCAGACAACTAAGAATATAAACACCAGCCCCTGACTCTTATTAACAATCCCTTTTGCCTATATTATTAGTTCCTGGTCATAAGGAATTACTTAAACCAGAAGTCAGCTGTCCCCACTAACTGAATTCATAAGGCATTTTAAAAAAATTGAGAGAAAAAGCAACATCTGTTGGACATAGAATGAAAAACTATTAAGTCATTTTGACCTAACTATTAATGAATGGAACATTTTTTTAATTATTAGAACATATTTTTGCTTACAGATAACTATGAAAATAATACTGAGACTAATGGTGCCATGAAAAGAAAAAATAATAAATATGCTATTTATAGTTTATGCCATGGTATATGAACTGTATTGTGGGTGTGTTAAATAGGTTAGGTTAAATGGAGGCCATTATGAGATGATAGTTTTCAAGTATGACTATACTTACATTTTGCAAAACAGATGGACTATTGCCCATGTATCAAGGAAAAAACAAAGAAAGGGCAAACCTAGTAAATTTTTATCATTTGAAACTGATTGTTAGAATAGGGGAGAGCTTAAGGAAAACAATAGCTTTCAAAAAAATCTAATGTAAAGTCTAGTGTATTTGAGTAGCTTGTAATAGTCTTTTGAAAGGAAAGTAAGGATTATTCAGTCTGATCAAAGATTAAATATCTGCATTATTAACACAATGAATCATAGCAAAGATCAGATTGGACACAAATATTCCATATCTATGGATTTTCCGGGTCAATCTTAAAATGCACTGAAAACAACTATTTAGAAAGACAAGGTGATTTTTAAGTCTTAATCTTGTTGTTGAGAGATTCAAACTAAATTCTGGATCCATGTTTCTC